TATAGTTTTGGTACCAGGGATGGAAATAATTTTTTTTTTTTTTACATAGGGTCTCACTATGTAGTTCAGGGTGGCCTTGAATTCACTATGTAGCGCAAGCTGGCCTTGAACTGACAGTGATCCTCCTGCCTCAGCCTCCCAAGTACTGGTATTACTGGCATGGACCACCATGATTGGATCAATTTCAAAAATATTAAGTATCTACTGTAGACAACACCATCTTTCCTCAATTATTTAATTATCATGTGAAAACAGGGAAGAGGAAATTAAATATAATTCATGCATATTCTCCAAACTCCGTTTTCCCTATCCCTCAAATTATAATTGACTGAGGATGCAAATAAACATTTACATCCACAGATCCCAAGTTCCAACTGCTTTTTCTCTTTTTTTCCAGCTTTTTCTTATCTATCCATTATTAGAAATTCTGACAATAAAAATTTATAGTTCTTTAAAATAAAACATAGAAGGCCAGGGATTTAGCTCAGCAGTTCAGTGGCCTGGCTTGCAAGCGCAAGGACCCGAGTTCAATCCCTGGTACCAAAAAAAAAAAAAAAAAAAAAAAAAAAAAAAAAAAAGAAAAGAAAAACAGTATAGTAGCATTACAATCGATTGATCTCAATAAATTATTTTTACCAAGGAACATGTCTAGCACATGCAGGGAAGTGGTTGATTGGTACTGAAACTTGAACAAAAGGATACTTTTGTGGACAAAGACAAGATTAGTTTGGCCCAATTGGAAGGCAGTCACTGTGGCCGTTTTCTCATCCAGTAAAGCCACTTTGCTAGAAAGAGATCCATTCTGTGTAACTCTATGATTTTGCAATTCCAGTGTGTAATGTTCCAGGGGAAATTTCACCTCTATAAGACATGAAGGATACATAAATGTAATAGCAACAGCCATTCCAAGTAGCAGTGCTTACTGCTGGATTTTAAGAGAATGATCTAAGGGAAGCCTACAATCGAGTATGCCCTGTTCCTGAGTTCTCTCACACTATACATTTCTACAGGTAGCCACCGGGCGAGAGAGAATAATATATGAGTTGACTGCTGGAACTGCTGGTATTCTTTACAGCTAGTGAACTAGATAGCTGGAGGGATTGCCATTATTAGATAAGTAAGGAAAAGTGCTAAAGTACGCTTTATAAATTCAGTAAGACTTTTGGGGTCAACAGAGGGATTAAGCTTTTGGCTAAGCAACAGAGTTGCTCAAGAGACAACTTTTGCTGAGATCAATGATCATTCAAGTCCCTTCACTTGACCCACAAAAGTTGGCAATTTTGGGGCGGCTGTTTTAATAGAGAATTCAGATGCCTATGGGTATGGAAGCTAAGTCGCCTAAATACGTCATGAGCCTGTTTCAAGATATGGGGACTGTTTCTTACCAGTATTAGTTCAAGAACAGTTGTTAAGAAATACTTTGTCATAAAATCTTAAAAAACAAAGAAGTATTTTTCAAATATATGACTTTTGCTTGTATTGTTATCAATAGGAAGGATTTGGGAAATGCGATTTATAGGAAGAAAAAGTACCTTTACCTGTCATTCTTCCCTGAACCATTTTTGCAGCTTTGTATTTAATATATGCTCCTACTAAGAGATAAATATCATGGGATGGTATAAGAAAGATATTCTCTAAAACAAGGAGACGTATCAGTGCTGCTGCCACGTTCTGAAAGAGAAAGGAGGAAGAAAATGTTTCTAGAGACAAAATCCTTAAGGCCATTTTTCTTGTTAAAAGCTCAGGTCTTAAAAGGTTTTTTTCTTTTTAAATTTAAAGATGCTCTTTCCTAATCACAAATCATAATTTCAGTTAGCCTGAAAAATGATTGTGAATTGGGGCTGGGGATTTAGCTCAGTGGCACTGCACTTGCCTCTCAAGTACAAGGTCCTGAGTTTGATTCCCAGAACCCCCCTCCCCCCAAAAAGTGATCATGAATCGTAATACTAAATTAACTTTCTAAATTATTTAACTAAGTCATTTAGACTAAGAATAAAAAAGTGAAAAACCTAAAAGAGAAGTAAATTGGACGTGGTGCCTCACACCTATAATGCCAGCACTCAGGAGGCTGAGGCCAGAGGATGGCTGCAAGTTCAGGGCCAGACTCTGCTACATAGTGAGAGACTGCTCAAAACAAAACAAAACCATAAAATAAAGTAACTATTAGGGGAAGTGGGAAGGGTAGGGGAAAGGAAATAAGAGAAAAGAAAAAATACAAAAAATGGAAACAAAGTCTTTGTAAATAGGGGAGGGTGGAGGGGGTGAAGGGAGGGCAGGGGTATGGGGAAAAAATGAGAACCAAGATCTGTCATGTAAAGGTACAAGATCCCAATGATGAATGTAACTGTACTGTATACTTAAAAAGTACAAATAAACTCAATGAGAAAAAAGAAATAAAATTAAATAAATATGTATGGGAAAAGACAGCTATTGTTTCTAAAAATTTAAATGTTTTGAAAAAAGGTAAAGGCAAGTTCCTAGTAAGTGCTAACAAATTAGAAACAGGTGAGAAATGTAAAAGCCTGGGGGAAAATCCATGAAGACACGGAATTTTGCACTCAAACTGTCTCACATATGTCTAAATTTTCACTTGACCATGTGAAAAAAAGAAACTAAAAACAAAGCCAGGTGTGGTGGCGCACACCTGTAATCCCAGCACTCGGGAGGCTGAGGCAGGAGGATCACTGTGAGTTCGAGACCAGCCTGGGCTACACAGTGAGTTCCAGGTCAGTCTCAACTACACAGTGAGACCATGACTCAAAAAAAAAAAAAGAAACTATACTTTCCACAGAAGTAAGATCATTAGATGAAAGACAGAAGTTTATAGAACTTTTTACCTTATAGAATGGTTCATAAATTCGAACTTTTACAGCAGCAATACCAGTTCTAATGCCAGACACCAAAATCCTATCTCCTCGTTTCTCTTCTTTTTCCATCTCAACTATATAGCCTGGGGGAGAATATTCTGCTTCAGAGTATTTCAGAATCCTAAAGATATGAAACAAAATTTGTTTCTGGCAGAATCTAATAATATCTTCTTCCAAAAATTTGTAGAAGATGCTAAACATAGTCTCTCTCTACAGTATTCATACAAGGTGGAGTTTTAAAGCTTCTATTTCCCACTAGGTCTATAAGAAAAGTATTTACTCTTCCTATTGAGGAGGTTGGGTGACTTACAAGAAGAGAGAGAGACAGAGACAGAGAGCCAGGGAGAGGGAGAGAGAGAGAGGACTATTTAATACGCCTGTGGTAAACCTTAGAACTAAAACTCGGATGGTGTGAGATCTGCTCCTTGGTACTGAAGACAAGATTTCACAGTATTCCACTCATGCTATTGCAGCACGTGCAGATTGCTTGAGCAACAAAACTGCCAGAAGATACACCTGGCTCAAATAATCATACAGTCCTGAAACTCAGATTCAAATTAAACTATCATAAAGGCACCTATGTACACCACATGTCATTATATCAAAGATATTTTCCCCTGTGAATTTACTGTTTCAAAAAAGTCCAGACAGGGACGGAGATTTAGCTCAGTGGTGCTGTGTCTGCCTCCCAAGTGTAAAGTCCTGAGTTCGATCCCCAGTACCGGAAAAAAAAAAGAAAAAAAAAGTCCAGACAGCAGGATTATCACAGTTCACACAAATAGTAGCTACTCAGAGTGCCACCCAATGGCAGAGGTCTCCTGCAAAGCGAGGTGATCTACGTTTGGTTTCAAATTTACCTAATTTTGCTAGACAGTTCTCCTCTTGCTGACGTGTCATCCTGAACAATGCTCCACTCAAACATCATCCCTGCCAGACTGCTAAAAGTATTTCCTGTAGAGCAAGCCAAAAGCAGATAAGATACAATCATATAATCAAAAATTTTCAGGTATCTGCAACAAGGAAAATCTAACTAGAAAATTATGTTAGGTCCCTTTATTTTTTTTGAAGCAAAACCTTTATTGGCACAATTTAGATATATGTGATAATACTCATCATACGGAATTCGCACCTGTACCTGATATATCCTACCTCTTCTTTTTTTCCCATTCCCCCCTCCCATCAACCTCCCTCCCTTCCCAAATACAAAAGCTTTGTTTCCATTTTTTCCTCCTATTTTCACTTTTTTTTTTCTTTAGGCCTCTTTCAGTAATAAACAGAAGCACTATTATTAATGAGTTAAAATACTTATGAGGACTATTCCTATAAAATGATATAAGTACTAAGCCTGTGCAAACTTTCCAAAAGGAAAAAACAATAAAGCTGATTAACTTCTGGTTGACAAAAATCATGCCACATTTCTTCTGCTTCTTTCTACAGAAAAGCCACCTTCATGGGCACCTTTAATCCATTAAAACTTTTTTTTTTTTTTTTTTTTTTTTTTT